TTATTAGACTCGGTATACTACTTATTCATATATCCTTGGAAATTAAATAGATAACAAGCCAGCTCCAAAACATAGTTAATTAGCGGCCTATTAGGTCCAGTAATCTCGGCTTATAATTGAGCTTCTAATTCCGCCTCGTCCTTACTATTGCCCTCACCCTCGTCCTTAGTCTCAGTATCCTTATTATTAATAATTTAGTCATTCTCAGTATTATTATTATTCTTATTAACGCTATTATTATTATCTGAATAAGGCATATTAGGGGTCTTTTCGGGGATAAAGTCGGGATTATTACTATTATTATTATTACTGCCCAGGAATAGTTAGTCCAGGAAATGCCCGAGACTAGGCTAGTTACCATTCGCGAAAAAGGAAATATTTACCTGTAATTCGCTATATAGCTCCTGGCTATTAGGCTCCGTTTCGCTATTATATTCTAGGGAACTATTATCGAAATCATTAATACTATAATTATTATTATCTGGGGTTATACTATGCGATAAGAGATTACGACTTGGTAAGGGATCCCTATTCCGGTCTCGTAAATTTAGAGGTTCTAGATTAGTGTCCTAGTAAATAGTTAGTATTTAGAGAATAGATTATTAATTTCCTTAAGATTAACTAATAGGTTCTAATTCCTTATTACTTATATATTACAAATACCTAATCCCATGGGCCTTACCAAATTCGTAGCTCATTTATATAGCAGGCTCTATAGAACATATATATATCTGCCCCTTATTTCTCGGTTATAAGTATCTAGGAGATTCGTATTTATAGTGAATTTACGGGGATACGGTTATTAATTCGGTAGTAATTAGCTAGAAAGCCGCTATATTTTCGGAAGAATTATGAGGTAGGGTAGTACTTATAATACTTGGGCTCAAGTAAGGAGTTTTTTGGGTCTCGCTAGGAATCTCTTAGGTCTCTCCATAATATCTACTATTAGGTAATTATTATTTGATATTTCGTTCTCGGATTCTCGCAGATAAGCGGGTAGTAATTTCTTATTTAGTCGGTAATAACTCGGTACTTTGCCCTCAAATTCTAGTAAATTTGCAAATAGCAGGCTCTTATATTATATGAGGCAGGCCTATACTCTATAATAAAAGTCCTATAGAATCAGGTATAGATCTTTAATATCTGGTTAATAATTCTTATATATTTCGAGGTCAAATTAATAGCATTTAGAAGCTAAGTAGCTCTATACTTAAAGTACTTATAGTATTTAAATGTTCTTGGATATAGCGAGAAGGCAATATATACGAAGAGTCAGGCTACTATATAATTAGAGTTAAAGAGGTCGGTATATCTAAGAAAGGAAATTATAAAGAAGGAGGAGGTTATTAAGGAAAAAATTATTAAGGAGAAGGTTATTAAGGAAAAGATTACTAAATAGTATTTAAAGAAGCTAGGAAAAGGCATATATTAGTTATTAAATCTATAGCAAATAGAAGGAGCTTGAGGGAATATAAGTAAGTAAATAATAACCTATTAAATTAGGATCTAGAACTTATTAATGCTTTTCCCGCTAGTATACTTGTCTAGCTATATTACTTTTGTGCCTTATTTCTTTCTTTTCTTCTTTGCTTTTCTTTAGGCAAGGCATTCTTAGAGAATTAGATTCAGAAATAAAAGATTAAAATCCGGTAACAATTCACTAAGGGTTCGGGAGTAAAAGGCTATTAAAGAATTAGCTTATTTAGGAGCGATATCTAAAAAAATTATTATCGATTATACTAAGAGTAAAAGGGGTTTAGATTCAGGAAGCGCCTCTAGCCTTAATCTCTAAGCGAGTTCTAAACTCTCGGTAATAAATTTATTACGTATATTATAATATATTAAATCCTAAAATATATACTTTTTATTATAATATATATAATTAATTTAGTACTTAATTCGTAGCCTTTTAGGGCCTTAAACCAATATAAAGAAAGTTATTAATAATATAATATTAGTTTTATTAAGATATATATATTACGTGTATTACGCTTTTTCGGCTCTTAATACGTATACTCTTGCTATGAAATCGCGATTAATCTGCTATATAACTAATGCATAATATATAGCTATAACCTTTTAAAAACCTAGTAATACACGATTATTTCGGTACCTAACTTATAGCTATTTGCCCGTTATTTATCGAGTTATTACTAATATCACGTGTATTACGCTTTTTCGGCTCTTAATACGTATACTCTCGCTATGAAATTGCGATTAATCTACTATATAACTAATACGCAATATATAGCTATAATCTTTTAAAAACCTGGTAATACATGATTATTTCGGTACCTAACTTATAGCTATTTGCCCGTTATTTATCGAGTTATTACTAACGTCACGTGTGTCACGCTTTTTCGGCTCTTAATACGTATACTCTCGCTATAAAATCGCGATTAATCTACTATATAACCAATGCATAACATATAGCTATAACCTTTTAAAAACCTGGTAATACGCGATTATTTCGGTACCTAACTTATAGCTATTCGCCCGTTATTTGATATCGAGTTATTAACTATATAATTTTAGTAAGGGAGCTTCTCGCTAACGTGTGTTTTTCAAAACCGCCTCGCTTACGTACCCGCTTTTCAGGCATTTGACTAATTCTAATTCTAATTCTAATTCTAATTCTAATTCTAATTCTAATTCTAATTCTAATTCTAATTCTAATTCTAATTCTTTTTATAATTTTTATAATTTTTTTTAATTTTATTTCTCTTTTTTTCTTATTTTTTTAATATTTTAAATTTTAAAAATATACTTAGAATTTAATTTATAATTTAAATATTTTCTTTTTATATATAGTACGAAATTTCTTTAATCTTAATTCTTATATTTTTTCTTTTAATATATAAAAAATTTCTTTTATCTCTTTTAAATAAAATCTTATTTCTTTTTCTTTTCTATTTCTTCTTTTCTTTTTCTTATTTTTTTATTTATTTATAATTTAAATATTATAAATAAAATATATTTTAATTTTAGAATTTCTTTTATATTTTTAAGTTTTCTTTCTTTTTTATTATTATTATATTAATATAATTTATATTTATAATAATATTAGATTAATTTCTTTTATTTATTTCTAATAAACTTAGAATCTAAACTCTAATTTTATATTTTCTTTTAATATTTAACTAGATTAGACTATTAGAAAAATAAATATATTAAGTTTTATAAATTATTTTAAAAATTTAAATAATAAAGAAAAGTAAAAAGAATAAAAAAGATAAGAGTTTTATAAAGAATTAAATTTAAGATATTATAAAAAAGTATATAATATATTTATTTAGCTTATATTATATAATAGAATCTAGAAACTAATTTCTTACTTTTAAGTAAGAGAGGGCCCAAGTAATATATAATTATATAACTTCTTTCTTTAAAGAGGCTAGATTAAGCTAGGCTATATATCCTACTAGCTTATAGTACTTATAATTAAATTAGCTAGTAGATTTTACTAGAATGCCTCGAGTAAATATAGTTATATAACTTAAGCAAATATATAACTATATTTATTTTGGCTTTAGGTTATATATATTAAAATAAGCTTTTTTAATTTACTAAAAGCCTAATACTAAGCCTTTATAGTATAGTTAGAACTAACTATATATATCCTTACTATTATAGTAATTCCTTAGCTATAATATAATAGAAGCTCTAGCCTCCTTATTACTATTTCGGGTATTAATAGCCTTCCGGAAAAAGGAAGCAGGGCAATTGGTCTATAAATAGTCTCGAGTATACTATACTAGTAAGCTAACTATAGATTTAAAGTCCCGGTAGGTAATGTGAGTGGTTTCTTTTCGGGATAGGTACCTAATAAAACGACTTATATAGGAAAGCTTAGGGAGTAAAACCCTAGAGTATAACTGGCCACTAATTCTTTTACTATTCTGGTTCTTATACTATCTCTACTTCTTATTTATTTAATTGAGAGAGAGTAAAGAGAAGAGAAGGAAAAGCGGCCAGAGGAGAAAAGAGTAAAAAAAGAGAAGGAAAGAAGAGAAGAAGAGGCAAAGGGCAGGCAAGGAGGGCTTTATATACTTCTTAAAGCTAGACTAGTATTCCTATATAGTATTTCTTACTCAAAAAACAAAACTAAAAAAAATAGATCTACTTATTACTAAATGCTATAGGAGTATTTATTGAGAAGCAAATTAGGAGTCTAACTAGGAATTAAATCTAGGCTATAGAGTTTACTAACTCTATATACTACTATTATATTATTAGGCCTTTTAGTAACTGCTATTTAATTATAGTTAGTTCTTGCTTAGCCTATATTAGGTAATAGAGTTTTATAAAGTAATTCCTTGTTTTAATATATAAGACCCAGCCCTATAGGCAGGTACTATAGCTATACTATAACTATAGATAGTAAATACTATTATAGCTAACTAGGTACTCAGTTATCTGGTACTTGTTTTCAGGCCGGGGCTTATACTCTCTTAGCTCGGCCATACCCCTCAAGTTATAGCTACTAAGAAGCTTTATAATCGCCTTGAGCTCGTCTCCCAAGAGTTGGTATAGCTGCGCTTGCAGGTACCGCTCTTGACTATATGCCTCTAGGATAATACAGGACTTGCAGGTATAGTAGATAGCAACTCTATAAGCTAGATTATATAATAACATAACGAGAATATGCTTCGAGACAAGGGAATACTCATTAAAAGGTAGTAGGGGAGATGCCCCTTTACCGAAATCCCTTTTACCGGAAAGTGCATTAGTCAGCAGCGTATACACCAATCAGCGTACGGGCATTCTCACCTTTCACCGAAAAAGGGGCCTCGCATAAGGGGTAGGCTTCAGTTATTACTTTCTCCTCAAACTTCCGAGCCACCACCTACATACCCTGCAATTATTCAGATAATATTAAAGAAAGAGAGAAAATCATGTATTAATATTGCCGTCAATATCCAATATGCTATCATTTAACGAAGAGTACTAATCCCATTATATCCATCCCAAGCTTTGAGTTCGCTACTCACAGTAATCCCTTATTCGGCCAAGATTTGTACCGTTGCGGCGTGACTGGGCACGTTCTTTTGCAACACGAACAACATCCAATATCCAGGCAAAGCAACGCTTGGACTTTCGGGAATTTTCACAGAGTACATTTTGTCAGAAGCTTTACCTTCCATGGTAACATTCAACTTGATACGTCTCAAATCGTTGTTCACCGTGTGAGTCGTCGCGCTGTATCGTATAAGACTGGCAGCGTCTACTTCAACATTTGTCGTAACGATGATCTTGTCGCCAGTCTTGTATACTTTTTTGTCGGTGCCTTTGATCTTTGGCTGCTCGATGGCGGTTTTCCCGTCGGGAGTGAATAGGTAATAAGGCTGGTAGATCTGGGCATCGTAATGATCCGTTTCCGCAAGTAACAGGCCGCCACCGCCCACGATCACAGTAGCATCGGGTAAGAGCATGGCCCAGGAATGGTATACTCGGGGAGTGGAATGGCGAGCCACTTCTGTCCAGTTCTTGTTCTCCGGCGAGTAAATCTCCGGAACTGGTTGCCAAGTTTCATCGTGGAACGGCTGGCCCTGGCGCTGACCACCAACGACGAAGGTTTCACCAGTGGGAAGGATCACGGCGTTTGCAAATATGCGCTGGTGATGCATCGAGGTTACCTGTTCCGGTTCCACAACGGTGCCAGGTTCTACGTCTCCAAGCTTTATTTCGAATGTGTTGTTGGTTGCCTCCTCTCGGTGATCGAAGCCATCTCCCATTTGATTAACGTTGAACCAGTATTCATAATTGGGAGCACCACCAGCTGTGAGAATAATACCCTTCTCGGCATCATACATTGAAGTGACACCGCATACAGCATCACCATCAGCGAAATTTGATTTCTTGCCTTTGCGGAATCCTCCGTCTTTGACCTCGCCCTCAGTGGTGTTTGTGAAAATCCAATGCATTCTCTTGGAAGGCCCAGCATGGAATATGCTGTCATTCTTCCACGCAAACAGCCACGGGTGATGTTGTCGCCATCCGTCCACGGTACAGCCATTGTCGTTTCGCGGTGGTTTACAGGACCTAGATATGTCCATGTTGATGGTCTCTGCCTTGACATTGCGCAACACCGTCCAACCGGTTGCTGGATCGTATAACTCGCCATCTCTATCGAAAGCATTATCACCCGACCACTGCCCCCCGATCACGAAAGTCTTGCCATTAGGTAAGAATGTCTGGCCCTGGTATCCACGGCCAATTTTTAACGTCATGGGCTTATGTGTTGTCTTGTCTTCAGGGGTCGACCAGTTCTTCGCCACGGGGTCGTAGATGCTAAACGCGAGTGGTGAGGATCCGCCAGTGAAGATCACCCCACCACTCTCATTAAACGACGTGCCTGGACAGAACATGTCGTGCCCTGTAGCATCGATTGTTTGTTCCTCGATTGTTCCATTCTCTGGATGCCACGTCGCTGAGATGGTTATGCGTGGACCCTGGTGAAATTTATCCTCTTCGTCGGCTGACATCGTTATCAAATCTTGAGTTTTTGGATTCAAAAACGCCGTGACGGGTACTAAAGGGAAATTTAAGGTGATGTTCCATCTTCCTCCTTTGTTTACAGAGGATGGAATCGTATCGACAGCATAGATGTTGATGTCGCCGATGACAACGAAAGGCTTATTTTGATACGAATCGAGTACCGTAAGGCGCACATACTGGGCTTCACGAGGCTCAAACGTTGCAAATTTTTCTGTATTAATCATCAGCACTCTCTGCTTTCGTAACGACAATATTGGGTGGAGATATGCCTACGGTCGCGGTCATTTCTCCAGGTTCCCAACGCAACTAGGTCCCAATTCCCTTTTTCCGTGGCAGTTTCCACTCGATGTTTCCGGACTGAACCTCCGATTTGATTGAAATCTGGGATTGTTCGCATAGCGAGACTATGTACTTTGGCTTTTTCTTTAAGGTCGATCACGATCCAATGAACACTACCAGTTGGATCGTCTGCGCTTTGCCAATATGTGACGTCCCCCTTACCATCGGTCGCGAGGGTGCAGTTGTGGGCGATATCCTTGCTGCTGCTGCATGTAGGCGGCGCCCAGCCGCTCCGGTCTAAGAGCCTAGCAGTTACAGGAAATTCTGTGATGGGAGATGCTCCCATGGAACTGGGCTCGTCCACGGTGACCTCTTGGCTACAGACGACGTGATCGTGAGCCTTACTGCTCCGTAGGAAAGCATGATACCCCAGAGTAGTATAGTTTATGATCGATCGTCCAGAGAACAGAGTGAAAGCAAAAGTAAAAGTCAGCAAAAGGAGCTTGACAACGAAGGGTAGCGTCCTGCGGGTGGCCGAAGACTTCAAGGGTGGTGATGGGAGGACATAACCCATAACATGCTTGGCTTTCTCTGAGTCTTCGAAGAGTGGGAGGTTCCCATCGGAGGCAGTATCGGACTCAGAAATGGCTACTGCCTTGTGGAAGAAGGGGAGAATGAACATCATGATTCAGTGGTTGCTAAAACAAGGTGACCTAAGTGGAACCGTAGGGCTTGAGATAAGCTTAGGTAAAAGACTTCACAAGGCAAACAGACTCTGAATTTGTTTGAGTTACTTCATAAACTGTTCTGGAGCATCTTGAGCTTATAAGTCGGAAATAATTGACATTGGTTTAGTGCCTCGATTGTTTCTGATAGGATGGATAAACCTTCCCGCTGCTCTGACACTGCCTATCTCGAGGAGGTGGTTCCCGCAAAAGGAGATCACATTCTCACAACATGCAGACTTATCCTTCAGCTCCACAAATAGTGAAGCACCAGCAGCTCTAGAGTCATCATTGCGCCCTCACTTTTGCAACGACCCAGCGGGCGCGACGTGACCAGGCTGGCGGAAGGCCTGTCCTGCACACTGCAACACCCCACCCAAAGTTCATCTCCGAGAGTCGTTATTGGATCCAACGGTAGCGAGCTGAAACTATGGAGACGGCAGTATCCCGCACCTGCAGCCCTACTGCCGGGATTGACGAGTAATTCAGCATCAAGGACGATATTCATGAAAACGTGCCGTCCGCGAGGCTAGCTATAGGTGCAGGTGGGATATATCCGCATCTCGTGCCGTGGTGCGTCACAATGTCTAGGCCTTTGAAAGTTGCCCGACCTGGTATGCTGCCGCGTGTGCATATTTGTAGCAGCCATTTCTCATACGACAGAGCTGAATACCTTTTCAGCGCCGAATCCAATGCTGCGGCCCGACCAGATGTGTGGCCCCTTTTGGCCCGTGCCGAGACGCCAAGAAACGATCGCCCGGGTCTAAACTGACTCTGGACCTTTTAGTCTAGCCTTTCAAGGCTCCGTTTAACCTTACTGTATCCAACCTCACTTGCATTGGGACGGCAGCTCTACCTACTCGGTGTGCACACAAGAAGGACGTGATCAGATCTGGAAACGTGCTCGGCTAGGTGTCAATGGGCTGACGCTCCGTAGCAATCACTCCAAACTACCTCCGTTCGCCTGAATAGTCATGAAATTTCTAAGGGCGCGGGCAGAATCTGATATCCTCTATATCTATGGAACAGGGCACATATGAGCACAGCTGCAAAAAGCTCATTTATGGCACAAATGGTTAGTTGCAGCCTGCTACGAGACAACGTGAGTGATCCTCAAGATTTAGTCTTCTAAAGCATTTGGCATCCCATTACCAGGCACACAGCCGACACAGGAAGGATCGAAATAAAAAGCTGCGTATATTGCATTCAAGCGACTAGAATATCAACGGTACTGTCATACTTGCGAACTGACGTTACTCAAGTCGTATCTTGACTCAGGTCATGCCCAGGTCGTCACTCATAGCTGGGATGGACGGCACAAAGAAATATTCACCACCCTTCATCGTCACCAATTGTTGGAATTTCACGCTTTGCCGAACGCCGAATTTGTCATTGAAGAATGTTTCCAGGTCTCCGTTAACCCCTCTGCTCTTCTGGGCGACCTGGCCAATGATTGGGTCTTGCCCAGGGTGGCCTGTGCGGAACGTTGAATCGTTGCTCCAATTCACTTGCATGTTCTGAAACCCATCCTCAATGTGAGCTTGGTAGCATGCAAACAAGAGTCCACGTGTCAATTTTGTGTTGTTTTCGTTTCCCTTGTAGTCAGTTCCGTATGGGATCCCGTTGCGGATTATTTTCGTCCGCAGAGCCCTCGGATCTTTGTCATTCTCCGTAAGATCTTCCCGGAGATTGGTCTTTCGAATGTGTGCGGATACAGGGCATACTTCATTCTCGTAAATGAAGTTGTTCATCTCTTTCGCCTTGTCCGGATCCTTCGAGTCCTCTGTGTAAAAGTTGACCACTGCAAGTGGAGCACCTGTTGTGACAATTGATCAGCAAGTAGAAATATCCCCACAAGGCCAAGAATTGATGCCAATATATGGCACTTACCACTTTTCCACCGACCCATCAGTTTCGCGCCCATATGCTCTTTGGATTCACATCCCTTCTTCTCCCACTGCTCTGTAAGGTCTTCAAAAGCCTTTACATTCTGCTCGAGCTTGCGAAAAACGAGAAAGGATCCATTTTCCATCCATGGAGGACGCGGGATTGAGCTTTCCCTTTTCGTGTCTCCTGTCACGATGAGGAGCCTTGGGTCAGTATACATATTCACGTCGGTATTAGCGTTTGTACCCGGCTCCTGCTCATCAATCCCATTCATCAGTGGCTGCGAGATTCCATCCTCAAATCCAAAACTATCACCAATAATGTAAGTGTCCAAGCTAGCTCCACTGGGTCACTAGGAGCCATCTTACTGTTCTTTGCCACGATCATTGGGCCTGGTCCAACCGTCAACTCGAGAATCAGTTGGTGTTGACGGTGAATCCTGAAACACATCATCAATGGCTGTGCCATGTTTCAGAACTCCCTTGATATTCTTCAAGTGTTCCTCGACCTTACCCTTAGAGCTTCCACCAATCTTGAGCATTCCATGAATTTCGGTCGACCGAAAGAGGGGATCCCACGTGTCCTGGTCAGGATCTTTTAGGAGGGCCGTGACCTCTTTTGGCGTCATGCCTGCAAAAAATGCCGGATCAGTGGCTGCGACATCGGTCAATCTCAGACTAGTATCGTCTTGAAGGCCAGCTTGTATCTAAGGCAGTTTAGCACTTGGTGATAGATGCCCTGATCGGGTAACTTACAGCCTGTAAGCCTTTGATCGTAAAGGCAATCAGGGCATTTGACATAGGTATCTCCGGAAGAACTACTCTTTTCTCCGGAATACCTTGTTTTATTGCCTCTTCTTTTCTTCTTGTGGATATCCTGTTGTGGTCCTCCCGCACCATTCTCAACGTTGAGATGAGCCGCGGTGACTGCGTAGACAAGTTCTTCAGACATTGAGAAAAGAGATTCTTCTCATTAAGCAAAGGCGTCTTAATTGAGAAGAAGTAGTACGTCTCATAGTATTTCGGGAAACCTTTGCTCCAGATATCACCTTGAATGTTATCCAACTTGCCAGCTATCGACGGCTTGGGAGGCATGGTAGGCAAAGCAAATAGAATAAAGAGTTTATTGCACGAAAGAGCTTATTTCAGAAGAGTTAGAGCAGCTTGGAAGCTCAAGGACAAGAAAAATAGCACTGGTTCACTTCGCATCTTCCCAGCGAGATAAATACCTTGCTTAAACTTCTGATAATTTGGTCATTTTTCCAGGACAGGAGGTTTGCCCCCCTTCTGACTGCTTAACACGAGTCTCATGCAAGCTGTGTCGAAAAGGGTAGCCCAAGAATGTCCAGCCAGAAGATAAAAGCCTTGTATCTGAGCTTCAGGAGTGTTTTTGCATGGATTTGCTCTTTCAAGACCACCCGGATCATTTGCGCCACATAGAACGAAGATTGTTTAGGACAGCTGAAGCCAGGGATGGTGGTGTGATGACGATTGAACTGAAACTTATTCCTTCCGTGGCCTGCGTGGCTACCACGTGCACGGTAGCAGCAACGACCGACCAGAAAAGCTTACCCAGCTGATATGCGCCACATGAAACTCCAAGTAAGCTTGTTGAGAACAGCTGAAAACAGGGGTTATGGTGTGGTGTGGATTGAGCTATCAGTGGCTTGCGTAGTTTCCAAGGTGCATTGAAGGGTTGCAGAGATAGGCTTGCTTGCTGAAAAGCCACGGTGGTCTGGAGTTCTTGGCCCCGAACTCTTTGAGGTAACGCTGATATCCAATGGCCTTTCGAATCCAGCTTTTGTGCATGCAGCCAACATGAAGCAGAAGAGGGGTTAACGATCGTAGACCCAGCTCCGTTCAAAGATGCTCCGTCCGGAACGGATATCCCAGCCGCGAGATTGTTCAGCTATCTATTACTAGATTTTGTATGGAGTACTGAGCACACAAACCGGTTAGTTTGGTAGAAAAACATAAAAATATAGCAAAGGAAGCGAATTGAGATTTTTAAACAAAGCACATTCCTTTCTTGCCACTACACTATTTAATTATCTGGCTCTTTCAATGCCTTTACCAAGGAAAGAGGGTCCCATTTCCAAGCCCGTAAGCGTGAGTAGACACATAAAATGGCTCATGTTAACTACGCGACAGGTAGTTGGAAAATATTAAAGGAGTAATAAACATAAAGGCGAAATCTGGAATTAAAAAAAACGGCCCAAGTGATGGCCCTTATTGCTCCCATGTTGTCACCGAGGGGCGGCGAGGGGCTGGCTATTTTGCATCGACGAAAAGAACGCGGTAGAGCCGACATTGAGTAGCGCTTCGAGATGTGCAAAATGCTATCGGTTAGGGTTGTGGGGTTTTTGGACAAGTATGGACTTTCAAATGGGGAGCACGTATTGTTATGACGTATTTGGTTTCTGCAATATGTATTTCTGTATCTCAATTCCATCTGTTACACAACTCTGTGGGTATTTTCTGTAGGTGCCGAAAGTAAAATTAGCAAACTAGAAGCTGCATGTCCATCTAGAGTCAAAGATGTTCCCTGGTGCGTGAACTCTTGCACAATATATCCCAGCAACTAAATCACCCCTCCTTCCTTCTTCCCGTATTATAGACGACCTTTCCTTTCGTCTTTTCAGATATGAACGTCTACATCAAGTCAGTACCCTACTCTCACGTCCCCCATCAATAACGTACACACCTCCCTTCACAAATTCTTTAACCCACTCCCCTCTCCGTACCCTTAATTTCAATTCCGATTCCAATCATCTTCCAACCCCCCATTCAACCAACCCGCATCCTCACCATCTTCACACCGCCTGCCGTTCCATTCCCAACTATCCTATTCTCCACCATCCTCACTACCTCTTTACTCCTGAACTTCACTACCTGACTTTTAACACCCTCCACAATCCCCGCAATACAAGCACTAGTAACAATAATAAGTGCGAATTTCAGAACAATGCTCCAATTACAATCTCGTGATTTGGCCATTGCTTGCGGGTCTATTCTTTCCTTGACTTTAGTTACTTTAATTTTACTTTAAAGTTTAATATAAAATGTTATATTAATAAATAATATAAAGCCTCTATATTATTAAAGTCATTTATATAAACTAGCCAGAGGGCTAATTCTGGGAGTTCTAAGCCTTATTTCTATTACTTAAAGCAATTTTTTTGGGGGGGGGGGGGGTAAAGTGAATCGCGTATTTCTATAGGGCTTTCTCTAGTAGATGAGACCCTGGAACATAGCCTGAAGTATTATATAGAGTATAATTTAATATAATTATTATTTATATTTATCCTTGTATTATATGAGAGTGCCACGAAAGCTTCTAGTATAGCATTCGCTTATTCTTAAGCCAGGAATCTTAATTTTAGTACCAAAAAAAAAATATAGTAATTATTAAGAAGATTATATGGAATTGAAATTCATGCCCTAGTTTAAACAGGTTAGTTTAATATTTAATAATTACTTTTTATTCTAGTACGTTTTTTAAATATTAAGAAATATTAAAATAGCCTAATAATATTTCCTTTTATATCCTATTATTTATTAGTAATAGTTAATTTAATTATAGGCAAGATAACTTATTATTACCTAATATTAGGTAATTTAGAGAGTTTTAGCTAATAATATTTTATTTTGTTTTATATAGCTGGCCCAGATTTTGGGTTTAACTTTATATAATAGATTTTATATAGGAATTAATTTAATATTATATTTCCTAATATTATTATATCTAAGTTTAATTAAGATTTGAGTATATATAATTTTATTATAGGAGTTATTTTCTAATAAAAGGCTTGCTATAATAACTACTAGAATAATACTATTTCTTAGAAACTTTAAATATTAATTAGAAATATCTTAATAAGAACTTATATATATATTATTATAATTACAAGTATTTAGTTAAGAGCAGTTTTAATATAAAAAACTAATATTTTTATTTATTCTTTTTATATAATATTTAAAGTAATACTTTTTTTCAGATTTCCAAAAAGCTATAGCTTGCCTTAGTACTATATAAATATTTAATAGCTATTATTTCTATTATTCCAAAATATAATATAGCTAAAATATATATATATAAGAATATATATATTCTATACTTAATATTTATATTAAGGGAAGTTTTAAGAAAAGAAAGAATTATTATTTCTTAGCTATTATAAAGATCTTTCTAGTATTATTATTATTCTAGCTATATATATCTGAAATCTGGTATTAGTATTTATATAAACCTATAGGTAGTTAGTAGCTCTAATTCGGGCTATATAAAGAGCTTTACCCTAATCTATAATCTAAATATATCTAGCTAATATATTCTTAATATACTATTCTGCTTTTCTAAATACTTTCTAAATAATAGTAATCTTATTAGAATAAATTAGTAGCTTATTCTAGAACTATTTTAGAATATATAAGAGAATTATACTTTATCTAATATTATTATAGCAAAAATAAGAGCCTAAAGTATTAATTATACGAGAAGGTAATAGAGAATTAATAGAGGTAATTTCTATTATATTAGTAATAGATTCTATAAAATTAGAAGCCGGGTTAAGAAAAGAGCCAGATATAGAACTTTAAATTATAGGAAAGAATTAAGTATTAGGAAATTCAGGACAAGTTTAATTATTACTAAGAATATTTCTATTTATAATTTCTAATATTTCTAGAAGCTAGTTAGTTATAACTAAAAGTTAATAATAAGGAAATAATATATAATTATAAATATTATAATAAGAAGTTAGTAATAGTAAAGAAAGAAAAGAGAGGCCAGGAAATATAATATAATAGTTTATATTTATTAGAATTAGCTTTCTAGTTAAGGCAGGACTTAGTATAGCTATAGCTAATATTTAATTTCCCGGTTTTACTAGAGTATTATTACTATAATAGTCTATATCTATTAGAGTTAGCTCCTTATTTAAAGCTAGGCTTAATAAAGCTATAGCTAGTATTTAATTTCCCGGATTTACTAGAATATTACTTCTATAATTACCTAGAGAATATACTAGAGAATTATTATTATAGCTATTTAATATATAGGCTAGAGAATTACTATTATAGCTACTTAATATATATACTAGAGAATTATTATTATAGCTATTTAGTATATATATTAGAGAGCTATTATTACTCAGAAATATAGATATAAAGTCAGGACTAGCTTTATATTCTATATTATTATAATTTTAGTAAAGTAATATATTATAAATATTAGAAAGATTTTAATATAAAATAATAAAAGAAAAAAAGGAAATATTTAGTAATATACTTAAGATAAAGAATTAAGAACTAGGAGTTAGAAACCCAGATTAAGGGCTATAGTATTTACTTACTTATTTAAGAGAAATAATATAAGAAAATCTAATTTATAGATATTATTTAGAAAGGCTTAGAAATACTATCTAATTATCTCTAGAATTAGGCCAGAATTACTATAGCTTTAAAAAAGTACTAGAGGTATTTAGAATAGCTATAAAAGAAATAAGAAGTAGCTATAAAGTATAAAAGTTTAGTAAAGAAATAAAAAGGCTAAAAATAATCGGGTTTTAATATTCTGGGAAAGAAATAGAACTAATAACTATAGGAGCTAGATATAAGACTCGAAAAATAAGAAGTCCGGAAGAACTATTTATAACTCTATAATTATTACTATATTTATATTACTCGGATTAGTACTAGTAATTAATATAATTATAGGAAATAGGTATTTTATTTTATATATTACTTATTAGAAAAATAGTATATTTAAAAATATAAATATAGCTATTACTTTTATAGTTATATCTAATAGCTATATTACTTCTTATATAAGTAAGAATTATATAAATATACTTAATTTATATAGAAATAAGATTAAACTAGTAATAATTTCCAGAAATAATCTAATTACTATATAAAAAGTAATTAAAGAATTAGAGATTTATATAATAAACTAATATTATAAGAAAAACTTGAATCTTATTTAGTAATATTATTTTAGTAATAAGAAAATAAGAAGGCTTTATAAGTATAATTAATATATATATTTAATATTATTAAATTATAAAAAACTTATAATAAAGAAATATAATAAT